AGTTTGACAAATAGAGAAGTGAAGGATACTCTGAGCAAAGTGGTCAAGAAATGTGAATATTTCCTAAAGCTTAGGGAACTTAAGCATTTTTCCCCCTAAAAGACAATAGAGGAAAATAATGTATTTGAGAAAAGCTTCTCATTAAATATTTAGCCCTCAGAGCCTGTGACACTTGCCCTTGGCTTTTTACTATCAAATTGGCTAAATTGAGTGATTTTAATTGCCCAAAGTGAGAACAAGGCACTTTTCTGTGGGAAAGGGTTCTCTCTTTATGGATTTCACCAGTTGCCTGGGTGTCCATATTTCATCTAAGCAGTGATTTCCCACATCAGCTGATTGCAATCCCACTCTTCTACACAGAGTCCTGTTTCACTTTGTCAGAGTGAAAAGGACAGCTGAATCTTTAGATTTAAGGAATAATTTTTTTAGACAGCTAAAGATAGGTCTAAAGATGAATGAATCAAATTCAGAGGGAACAATCCAATCTCTTGTTTGAAGTAACTATACCAACATGACTACAATTGTCTCAGTGGGTGTGAATGCTACACAGCTGCAAGTGGGAATATTTTTTCAAAAGTTAAATTACATGTGAAAACTTTTAACTGGTTCCACACTTTTAGACATTTCATATTCATATTAGTTTGTAATTGTCATCTCTGTGGTTTTCAGCCATTTATGTGAACTTCAAAACTTTTCTTTTCTAAGCCAAACACTGATGGCAAAAATCAACATGAGTTCTACAGCCATGCCTTGCCCAGCATCCTCCTTAAGGTTTATCTCACTGAGCAGAGAGGGATGTGCTAAAGCTCTGATGGAGCAGAGGACAAGGCCTGGGGTGCTGCATTTAAACCTGGATGTTTGAATGCAGGGCTCACCCAGAGCAGGCTGGAGGGAGCTGGGTGGGGTGGCTGCTGGGCCCTCAAGGGGTCGGCACTGTGGGTTGCAGGCACTGTGGGTTGCTGTCACTGCATGTGTTGCAATGTTGCTGCCACTGTGTTGCAGTTACTCTGTTGCATTCACTGTGCATTGCAGTGACAGTGATACAATGAGAGTGTTGCAGTCTGTTGCAGTGACAGTGTTGCAGTAAAGTATTGCAGTAACAGTGTTGCAGTCACTGTGTATGTTGCCGTGACAGTGTTGCAGTAGTGCATTGCAGTGACTGTTGCAGTGACTGTTGCAGTGACAATGTTGCACACTGTGTTGCAGTGTCACTGTTGCAGTCACTATGTTGCAGTCGTGTTGCAGTGACAGTGATGCAGTGACAGTGTTGCAGCAACTCTGTTGCAGTCACAATGCATTGCAGTGAGTGTTGCAGTGACAGTGTTGCAGTCACTCTGCTGAAGTCACTGAGCATTGCAGCGAGTGTTGCACTCACTCTGTTGCAGTCCCTCTGTTGCAGCCACAGCATTGCAGCCACAGCATTGCAGCAGCAGTTCTGGGCTGAGCCCTGTAGGGCTCACCCAGAGCAGGCTGGAGGGAGCTGGGTGGGGTGGCTGCTGGGCCCTCAAGGGGTCGGCACTGTGGGTTGCAGTCACTGTGTGTTGCTGTCACCGCATGTGTTGCAATGTTGCTGCCACTGTGTTGCAGTTACTCTGTTGCAGTCACTGTGCATTGCAGTGACAGTGATACAGTGAGAGTGTTGCAGTCACTGTTGCAGTGACTGTGTTGCAGTCACATTGTTTCACTGACAGTGTTGCAGTCATTGTGCATTGCAGTGACTATCGCCATAAAGTACTGCAGTAACAGTGTTGCAGTCACTGTGTTGCAGTCACTGTGTATGTTGCAGTGACAGTGTTGCTGTAGTGCATTGCAGTGACTGTTGCAGTAACAATGTTGCACACTGTGTTTCAGTGTTTTCCCACCCATCCCAGCTGTTGCAGTCGCTCTGTTGCAATCATTATGTGTGCAGTGACAATGCTGCAACCACTTTGTTGCAGTCACTATGCATTGCAGTGAGTGTTGCAGTGACAGCGTTGCAGTCACTCTGTTGCAGTCACTGTTGCAGTCACTGAGCATTGCAGTGAGTGCTGCACTCACTCTGTTGCAGCCACAGCGAACGTCGTCGTCAAGACCCGACTCGGGACCAGCTGACACCTGCAGAGCAGGCTGTGCCTCTGCCCGTGGTTTGCAAGAGCAGGTTTGGGTCTGTTCCCTCCTTTGCCCTGCCTGGGGGTGGGTTGCTGACAGACAGCACCACCCTGGCACTGCCTGGGCCTGCTGCTGGACTTCTGAGAGGGAAGGTTGGTGCAGAAGTTGGAGGCTTGCTGAACTGTCTGTAATCAAAGTCTGTTAGTCTGTGCCTTAATGAGCCCTGCTGGGAACACTTTGTCCAACTCTGTTTCTGGTCTCTCACCTCGCACTGGGCTCTGTTAAAGCTCCCAGTAAGTTTGTTCCTGCTTCTGCCTTGTCATTTCCTCAGGGCACCTTGCCAGACTGTGCCACAGCCACGAGGAGCTGGGAGCTGGTACCACAGTCCTGCAGGGGCTCATTAAAATCTGACAGCCATAATGAGCTCTGTGGTTGTTCTTGTGCTGGAAGCATTGTGTGGTTAATTAGGGAGCTCCCAGCTGTGTTTCAGTGAATACCTACAGCTTAATTTCTCTTTGTCTTTTGTTCTAATTACGTGTGACAGGGAGAATGGAAATGGAAACATTTTAATAGGGAATTAGTCCTGTTTATACCCTGGTGGGAATCAGGCACAGAGAGGAAAATGTCTTTGGGATCAAGCAGGGAGAGACCTGAGTCAAAGTTTGATTAATGTGCTGGCAATAAGACAATTCTAATTCCAGCCTCTTCTCCTGTTACTGCAACCCACAGCAGTGCCAAAGGCTTTGTTTGCAAAGCCTTTCTCTGCTCTAATTAGCACTACCTTTACCTGCTGTACTAATTATACACAGAGACAGAAGCAATATTCATCACCATTGCAAAAGGCTTTCAAGGCCTTTTTAAATGATTGAAAGCAAAAAAATCTTAATTAACAAATAATGTCATATATTTTACTCTGACCCCCCTGCACTCCAGTTTTCCCAGGACATGAACCCTGAAAAGAACTGGTTCACTGAGGAGATGGACAGGTGATAGAAATTTTCAGGCACAATTAGAATGAGAAATATTTAAACAATAAATTCGGAAAAACTGAATATCTCCCTGGAAATCATGATGAGTCCTGTCACTCAGATGTCTGTATTGGGGCCTGTTGCAGTATACAAGGCAAATAATTTTAAATTAAAAGACAGTAGATAAACCACTTACTTATTAGAATATATGTAAAGAATATTATTAGCATCTTAATTATTAGATTAGACATAAGAAAGAAATTTTTTTATTATGAGCGTGTCAAAACAATTAAATGGGCTGCCCAGAGAGCTTTAGATGCCCCATCCCTGGAAACATGCAAGATTGGATGGGGCTCTGAGTAACTTGGTTAACTTGGTCTATCAGAAGATGTCCCTGCTCATTGCATAGGGGATGAATTAGATGATTTCTTACTACTCAAATTATTCTAGGATGCTGTTTCCAGTAACCTTGAGGGAGGTGATCCTTCCTCTCTACTCAGCACTAGTGAGGTGGCACCTGGAGTACCATGGGCAGTTCTGAGCTCCCAGTAAAAGAGACACAGATGTGCTGGGGAGAGTTCAACAAAGTGGCATGGAGGTGGTGAAGGGACTGGGACATCTCTCCTACAGGGAATACCTGGTACAGCTGAGCTTTTACCCTGGAAAGAGCAGGTCGTGGTGGAATATTATCCACGGATGTAAGTCTCTGAAGATAGGATAGACATGGAAGACATACACATTTATTTCAGAGTGGTGTACAGCGACAGGACAAGAGCCAATGGGCACAAACTGAAACACGAGAGGCTCTGTCTGAGCATTCAGCAAACACATCCATCTGTGAGGGTGACCAAGCACTGCTACAGGTTGGTCAGAGAGGTTGTGGTGTCTCCAGGCTCGGAGATGTTCCAAAAACACCTGGAACTGGTCCTGAGCAGTCGGTGCTTTAGGTGGCCATGCTCGAGCAGGGGCATTGGACCAGACAACAACTGAAGGTCCCTTCTCACCTCGACCATTTTGTGTGACTCTAGGGCAGTGTCAGTGTGCAGCAGAGTAGAAACAGCTCCAATTCATGCTCTGGTTGCTCTGGTGACCATCTGCATGCAGGGTTTCCCATCCGTGATCAGTGGTTTGCAGACAGTGTCTTCAGGGTGGGGAAGGCTATAGTGGTTGCAGCACAAAGGTGGGGCGATACCACCAGAGCAGGAAAGGGAAGTGGTGGTGAGCAGGGATGTGGTGGTGAGCAGGGATGTGGTGTTCAGCACGGTGACCTCCATGAGAACACAGCAGGGGCTGCCTTCACACTGCTCTGACACCAGACACAGACAGTTCCAGAGGGTGTGATTATGGGCCCACATTGAGCCAGGGTTTAGCCAATCAATGAAACTGCTGGTGCCTCTCCAAAAATAAATTTGTAAAAGACTGCTTTTGCCTCAGCCATATTTGACATTTTCTGCACCACAAGGGCACCTCCTGACCCAGGCAGGTCTGATCAGCTGATCCAGTGGGAGAAAGTTTCCAGTTCTACCCACAGGCATTTTACAGGTGTAAAGGGCTGTAAACAGGCTGGCTAGTCTTTAGTCTGTCTAAGCATCAAAAGAGGGGTTCAGATTGGTACTGGAAACCCACCTGATCTCCCTTTGCAGGTGGAGATGACTCTGTTTCTGAAAGCCTGGATAAATGTTCTGTACAGGCTGTGCCTGCTGGCTGGACTGCAAGAGGCTGATGGAGACAAGGGAAGCATTTGGGGACTGAGACCTGTCCTGCATGTCCCACCTATGCCCAGCATCTCCCAGAGTGTCATCTCCTCCTGCTCCCACTCAGGGTTTGCATCCAGCTCCCAAGAAGGCTGCAGACACAACAGAGTTTGAACATGCTTTTATTGATGGCCAGAAGCAGAGCTGGAGCAACAGTGGGAGGAAGGGAGCACTGGGAAGCTGGCTGTACTTGGGACCTGCATTTGGACCTTGCCACGGACACTCTCCTTAGTGCCAAAGCTGTGCCTGCACCACGGGGACTTCTCTGACTCCACTTCAGCTGCTCCTGGGGGCTTCTTGATGCATTGTGGAGAAGGGCACTGAGCATTTTAATCAGAGAATGGAGAGTAAGGAATATCTTGGAGTGCAAATCTCCTCAGCTGCTCACGTATCCAGGGCTCAAAGTATGAGATCCTCGTGAATACCTCAGGGAAGCGGTGGCGTTTACGTGCATAAGAAACAATGCCATGAGCCTTCTTCTTGCAGACTAATGGGCCACCAGAATCACCCTGTGTCATGAAAGGAGTGAGAGGGGTCATACATGCCACAGCTCAGCTCTCCCTGCCTTTAGGAGCAAGTTTCCTCTTCCCTCCCTTCATGTGAAGAACCTCCTCTTCCAAGCACCTCCCTCCCTCCAGACCCAGCTCTCAGGGTCTGTAGCTGCCTCACTGCTCCTCTGAGCCCACCCATGAAACAATTCAGTCTTGGAAGCTCTTTGAGATTCAAAAACTCCAAAAGAACACGGACCCACTTTAGACATAGTGACCCTCCTTTGGCCAGGGGGGCACATCAGCCTCAGAGCTTCTGTGAGCACCCCCAGCTCATAATTCAGAAGGTCCTGTTTCATTGTGGTGTCCTTTTATTTTCACCTGAGAACCAAGCTGACCGTCCAGTCCCAACCTCCTCCCAAGCCTGCAGCCCAAAACAGCACTTACCCTGCCTGATGCTTTTTTACTGTATTCATCACCAACACAGATCATGGACTGACGCTGGTAGTTTTTGAAAAGCTGCTGACATATTTCCTCCTTTTGCACCTTCAGTTCCACCTCCCTCAACACATTACTCCTGTTCCCTGTGTCAGATGTCAAGCCCCAGCCAGACACCCTACATAAAGCTCCTTCTCTCAGATGCTCATTTCTCCTGGGTATGGAGATAAATTGCACATTCTCATTGATCCTGGCCCTTGGCTTCAGCTGTCATGCAGAGAGAACACGGGGTTAGAGCCAGCGAAGGATTAGCAGCAAGTTCAGAATTTGGGGAGGTGACCACGGGGAGATCCCTCAGGAAGGAAGGATGAGTTGGGTCATACCTTCAGCAGCACAATGTCATTTTTAACGTAATCAGGGGATGACTGATAGTCGGGATGGATGACCCATTGTCCAACACGGATCTTCTGCTGGCTTTGCTCGCGGCTGGTCACGTCGTGGGCTCCCAGAATCACAGTGACCCTCACTGTCCTGCCAGGAAACACCAACACATCCCAGCTGCATTGACAGGAACACAGCCCTCAGGACAGGTGGTTCAAGGGAGAAACCTCCCCAAAGCAGCTCTCAGAAAGTTGTCCTTTCCCACCTGGACTGTGGTAATCACATGTCCTCTGAACAGAGAGAGAAACAGACTTTCCCAGGATTTTCCTGGGGAAGGCAGTGAGAAAGCTCAGAGAAAGAATAAGAAACAGTTCTTATCTTAATTTGCTGTGCCCATTGTTGTGCACATGTGGAATGTGTTATAGAAATTATTTACCAAACAGTAATTCCATAATTAGACTCTAGTGATAGTGTTTTGATTCATTAGCCCATTAGATCCATGAGTGTATCAGCCTGTCTAACAAGAACAATCAGTTTTTTCTTAGAAGTATAGAATAATACAGTGTAGTAGTATAATATAGCTTAATAAAACATTTGATCAACCTTCTACAGTCATAGAGTCAACACTCATCATTCCCCATACAAGAGCTCACTACCACTACCCTGGGTTCCTTCCCCAGCCCAGCTGTGGATCCCTCACCCCACACTGACACAGGTGGGAGCTGCCCCTGCTGAGGACAAAGGGAAGCAGGGCAGGGGGACCCTGGACCCCTTCTCCAGCAGCAGCTCTAAGCCTCATGGCTTAGAGGAACCATGGGAGGAGCCATGACCCTGGAGACCCTGGGAGCATTCCTGTATCCCAAGGTCACTCAGCCCCTGGCAAACAATTCCTGCACTCACAGAGGGGAGCTCATCTCCAGAGATCCTTGCTCTGCCTGAAGAGACACGGAGCAATGTTTCTGTCTAGACCAGGGCTGAGGGCCCCTGGGACTATGTGAGACTGGAAAAAGTCACCTGTACAAGAACAATGGAGTCTTACCCTATTTTATCCACACAGTGAGCTGCTGAGAGCACTGCGTCTGGACGAATCAGGAACCCTCCACAATAACTAGTTTTTGAGCCACTCTTAATTTCTAAACGAGCCATGTAGGGCCTGGAGTGGGGCTTA